CCCCCCCACTCCTTTCGGTTGAGTTCAATGGTCCAGGACAAATTCTCGACAAATCTCATCGCATCGAGCGACTAGCCACACATGGTGCCCAAACCCTCTGCATGACGCTACACAGCCGGTACAGCAGTGGAACGAAACAAAGACAGTTCGCATGCAAGGTTTGGCGGCGGCGACAAAATAAAGAAATTAAACGGCACCGACCTGTCAGAGAGGTCGACATCACAATAAAATCAGCGGCGTAGAAGTCACTGTTTTTTTGGCTCTTCGTTTCTCTTAGCTTTAGAGTAGCCCCCATCCCGCACGCCCTCTGAGGTACCCTAGGCGTGCGGGAAACATTATTACGGGTACCGTTGGCCCATGTGTTGGCTTCTCCTACCTGTACTGAAGGCCCGAAAATGGTGTCTGGAGACCACCAGTGTTTCTGTTCGGATTCTTGCTGTTTTGGGACTTTCACGGTCTTTGGCAGTTACGGCCTTGGCCGTACTGTGTCTCGATGAGTGCATACGCAAGCGGGGTAGGATCATTTACTTGAGCCGCGGCAACGCGTGTACGAAAAATCATGTCCAGCTCCCCACGTGTCTATCTTATGTGGTTAGTTTTACGACACCAAACCAAGAGAATAACATCATCATCAACCGCCACCACCAGCTCCAGCAACAACAACACCACCGCGAACTAACAGCCCACCCCAACCCCCACGACGACGACGACGACAACAACAACAACAACAACAGGATCTGAAGCCCAACAACTTGCTGTACGCAAGCGACGGCAAGCTCAAGCTGGCTGATTTCGGGCTCGCGAGGTCTTACGGCAGTCCTGGCCGACACATGACGCCGACGGTAGTCACGCGATGGTACCGGCCGCCAGAGCTGTGCTTCGGATGCCACGAGTACGGTTCGGCGGTGGACATGTGGGGGGTAAGCAAGCTCTTGAGTGTCGTGGTCGAAACGAGGCGGCTTGAGCGTTCCGAACTTTGCTTCCAAATTTCCAAAGTCTTGTAGGCTGTAGAAACTCGAGTTGCGGCCGAGGAATTTCTTTTCGGAAATTTGGAAACCACCCTGGCACCGAAAAAATGGAACAATTTTTTCCGGAATGGTGTTAATTCTGAAGAGTCGGAACGTGGAAATGTGGAAATTTTAGAGCAAAGTGGCTGATGATTTATTGGACCTTTAAGTTAATACATGTTAGATGTTCAAGTTTGGTGTGCGCGGGTGTTAGTATCGACCGCTCTAACGGGCTGACTGATGGAAGAAAACACATTGACCTCCGTGCGCTTCTACAAGCGATGGCCTCGGGTCCTGTGACGGGGGGTTCGTGGCAGTAGGCTTCGTAGGGGTCGATTAAGTAGTTATGTTGGATAAAGCATGCAATCGGGGAAGTTGGGTTAGTAGGGTTGGGGATAGGGATAGGGTCTCCGTATACACCCTCCCTGTTCTATATCCGCATGAACGTAGCTTCTCGCGAAGGCAGTCCGTTTGTGGGAGCGAGCGCTAGAAGGGTATTGAGCCGACATTGGGTCGATAACTGATACCAAGACATTATCGCCATTAGTAAACACACGGCGAATGAAGTTCCGCGGACACGCTCGATGAGACATCGGGGTCGACTGTTGACATGAAGGCAATTCCACCATCAACAGCAACAACAACATTCTGTAAGAGGAGAGGAGATGGCACCCCGCCTAGACCAGCTTTCAAAGCTCGATTGCTCCACAACCGAGTTTGTCTGTACCGTACCGTATGCCGTACCGTGGTATTCCGTAAGAGGAGAGGAGATGGCACCCCGCCTAGACTAGCTTTCAAAGCTCGATTGCTCCACAACCGAGATATTCTGTACCGTACCGTATGCCGTACCGTGGTATTCCGTAGGAGGAGGGGAGATGGCACCCCGCCTAGACCAACTTTCAGAGTTTACTTGGTCCAGAACCAAGGGGGCGCGGAAAACCGCGCGATACGTCGACGAAGAGCCGCCGATGAGATTTTTTCCGAAACCGTCATTTTTGGTTGGTAGCACAATCTTGGTTGCGGATTAATCAAGCTTTGAAAATCGATCTGGGGTGGGGTGCCATAACTCCGCCTTTTGCGGTAGCAACAAGCTTCGGACACACGATCCCACAACGGCTGCCCTCGACTGGGCGAATCGATATTTCTGTGTAAAGGTTGGATGCATCTTCGCGGAGCTCATGTGCCGAAGACCACTGTTTCCGGGCGTCAGCGACGTGGACCAAGTGGCGCGGATTTTCCAAGTCATGGGAACTCCCACCGACGAAAGTTGGCCGGTGAGCGTTTGCTCTTTGACTTTCTGTTTTGTTGCTGTGCTGCTGTGGGGCCAATGAGAGGTTGGTGGTCATTCTTCAATGCCGGTCCAGGTATGTATCCTTTTTTTCATTTTTTGGTCTATGGATAGCCTTTTACCTCGAAGGGTACCCGCGCAAACTGGATGAGTTTGGGCATTTCAAGGTCCTGAGCGGAGGTCGGAACGGTTTGATTGTGATGGCAACGCAACATAACTTTGCCTCGAACACCGGTTGAAACGCTATCCAAAAGTGCATTTTTTACCATGTCTGTCCGTTTTTTGGGCGACCCTCTTCTGCGATAACTGTTTTGGATGACACACATCTTCCCTTACTAAGCAGTCGACATTTCTGAAGATCATCGACCTAACAGAGAATGGGATATACCCTGGTGCTTGTTGTTGAACACAAGCGACTCAGCCGGGTACATACCTCTGCTGAGCTCGAAAAGAGCCGAGCTCATTGGTCTACCACGCCCCTCCGACAGAATCCCACACTTTGGCCACCTCCCCTCCGTTGTAGAACGTAGCTTTCGCCAGCGAAAACCCGGCATATCGTTCCGTCCCGGCATGATAGGGATGCGGCAAAACGATTTTTTACGACATGCTTTGACACGACTAGCCTTCCCCCTCCAAGGAACACTGCGCTCTCCCGGACTACGTGGAGTTCAAGCCGCAGCCCCCCGTCGACCTGAGCTCTCTCCTGTCCGCGGCTTCCCCCGATGCGATGGACCTCCTGCTTCGGCTCCTCGTGCTGCGGCCGGACAAGCGGGCCACCGCTAGGGAGGCGCTGAGACACCCGTACTTCACCAAGCACGAGCCGAAGCCGTGCGAGCCGTCGGAGTTGGCACTGCCGATACCGGAGGAACGCAAAAACAAGGTGTGGGGGTGGGGGGGGCGTACTCATAGTCGGGGGGGGGGG